TATTTATGGTGTCACGTGTAGTATATAAATAATTTATAATATTTTTTCCCCCAAGTTCTTGGTGAAAGCTGAATTAAAGTAATTTATTTGAAAATCGTTTAATAATCTAATTTTATTCACAGCAAACTATCGCAGGATATTATCGTATCGTTTGTAAAAATAATATTATGCGCACAAAGACGTTAATGAAATACAAATTTAAATAAAAATACGATTTTCTTTGAGAAATAATCACTTTATACATAGGGTTTACATTTTTACGAAAAGCACGTGAATAAAAAAATTGTAAGTAGTCTCAAATATCAAAGGGAAACCCCTTTAAACCTATTGAAAAATAATGAAAATAGTAATATCAGTGGTGCATACATTATTCATGAATATAAAACTTAAATATTTACAGACAATGTAGGTATCTATAATGGATATGTTGTAGATCTTACTTAGGTTTATTTAAATCGATTTTAAAATTTTTTTTATGTACCTTTAACAATTGTATTAAGTCCAAATTCTCCATTGGTAACATTCAAATGATAATAGTGAAAAGTAACAAATGAAAATTAGAATACCAATATTACTAATATAATTATTAGCAGGATTTATTTTAATTAATTAATTGATTTCCGTTATTCAATATTATGTGATATCAAAGATATAATTTTAATTGTCATTAAATAAAATAAATAGTGAGAACAAACTTAGCTACGACATATAACTTTAAAACTATACTAATAATTGGTACATCCTATATAGTCCTTAAAATGTATCTTGAATTTATAAAATTAAAAGTATAGACATATAGACATCAGATTAAAAAATTCGTCTTTTAGAAGTGTACTTATCTACAATCGTAAATTGCATATATTGTATGCATTTCATAAAATAACCTATAAATGTTTTACTATATTTTATTATAACTCAGTCAACAGACCTCTATACTTGTGTACAAATATTGATAGTTCCGACAAAGAACAAGTGGAACGCTATTTGCAGTTTAATTGAATAACCAAAACTTAGAGCATAAGATAAATATTTAAATATTACTAAATAAAAAGTTCAAAGGACGAAAATCAGAATTTTCAAAAAACCATTGCAAAAGGGAATGCAAGTTTTGCACAAGTCGGGCGTGTAATGCATTTTGAGCTCTTTTAAAATGTTTTAAATATTTAAAGGAAACGGTGCAGCGGTGACGACGATAAGAGCTCGAGAAAAGCCGACTTATCGTGTTTTTTTTAAGTCTCTCTTACTGGCTCCCACTCTATCCGTCTCTCTTGCAGTTACTTTACATGCACGTTCTTTATAAATATATATATATATATATATATATGAATTTATTTATTTATTTAGTCTGTCTCTGTTTCTCTCTGTCTGCTTCTGTTTCTCTCTGTCTGTCTGTTGGTTTCTCTCTCGGTCTCTTTCTCTCTTTTTCTCTTTCTCTCTCTCTATCTCTCTCTCTCTCATCTTATTCAGCTAGTGAGACTGTTATTCCTGGGTCCACTTGATAAAGAATACAGATTATCGCCTTAAAACAGTCGACCGACTAACAGGGAGGTGTTATGGGATCGTCATGAGGCATTTGGCGTGTATCTGAAAAGATTTGACCCGAGTATAACACCCCTTATAATTCAAAAAACTGTGATTTCCCGACGCAGTCTCAATGTGTGAGAAAACAGCGGTGTTGAACAATATATCAAACCTCTTGACACCGTCATCTCCCTCACTGTGCTCGCGTACGTAACATCACACCGGGGCCGAAAACCGTTCATATTTATGGCTGGTTTCATAAAAACGCCCAGGGCTCAGGGGGCGGTAGTGGTGGTGGTGGCGGCCAAAAACTTTTTCCCATTACACAAAACGAGGCTTTAAGTTTCATTCCATCCCTCTCTATGTTATTTATTGAGTCCGGCGCGAACCGCTGTTCCAATTAAGGTGGATTAAACGGCTACCAAAACTTACAATGATATTTTTCGAACGGCTAAAGTTTTTGGAATTGCTTTTTTCTTCACGCACAACAACAGTAAGCTATGATAGTATCCGCGAAAATTGTTCAAACCGCCCGGACTCGGAAAAGCTGTATATCGACCTGAACGTTCAACCGGTAAGATACTATGTCACCAGCCGCTAGCGGTCACACACTTAAAGCAGCTGTAAATCATAATACCATAACACTATCGTTAAATATTATGAACAAATGTAGAAAAGTTAAAACATTTCTTTTATTATAAAAAACAATACGTGGTCAGGAATCAGAGACGGGTGTTGGACACTAGTCTTACTTTTATAGAATTGTTAGTTGTTATAGACCAATGAAACGAGGTTGACATAGTAAAATAAAATACATTTGAAGGGGATGATGAAACACAACACCTGGAATATGATTTTAACCAAAATATAATGATTTGATACAATTCTTGATGCAACTGTATACATCAATATGTTTTTATTATATCAAAACAATTAAACAATATAATGATATTTTTTTTGATTAAATAATTTATTTAAAAAATGTTGTTTTAAAAACAAGTAGGTACGTACGACAAAATATTAAATTAGTTTATACTTAATAAAAACATAGGTACATATAATATGGTACCTACTGAGCTTAAGTTTAAAATTACGATTTCAATATTAAAAACTACACAAATATGGTTGACCTGCAGCACTGTTCCCTTTTTCATTTAATATTTCAAATTAAAAAACAGAACAGGAATTAGTTTTCCTGATGAATGGAATGAACCTAACGTCCCTATAACGCATTCTTCTCTATAATAGCTGAACTGAGAGGAAAAGTTTCGTTGATTGTAAAACAGACCACGACTTTGGGGCGATGGTTTCCTTTAACCGGATAAGAGCTGGCAGTGCATTAGTAGACCCGGTGTGTTTATCTTACAAGAATCGAGAATATATATATATATAAAATATATATATATATTATATATATAATATATAAGAAAATCAAGTCTCGGCCAAAGTGGTACGTTTGTTTAGTGAGGTCCGCTGTGCAAACTCAAACTTTGGGGTCAAATATCGGACTGGATTAGAGGTGCTGGGATTTTCAGTGGTTTTTGAAAGTGAGTGAGAGAGTGAAAGAATATTAGTATGGATGTATGAGGAATAGGAGCAAAAGGGGTTTCTTGGTGGGGTGAGCAAAGTTTCCTGTCCATTTTATTTGACCGTAGACCACTTTGTTGTGTGACGAAATCCAGCTCTCTCTCTCTTTCTCTGTATATATAAATATATAAATGAATATATATATATATATATATATGGTCAGAATCCAAGTGAGCATAAAACCTTTTTTGTGCACAAAACAGCGATATGCAATAAAAAATAAATATTCAATATAGGTACCTACAAATCGAGAATACACTTATACGGGTATTTTTCAACTTAGGTATGCTATTAAAGTCTACGGTTTACGTTGTGGTATTAAATAAACAAAAAATAATAATATGTGAATAACTCTCATCAGTGGTGACTTTAGTGGATACTCTGTTATAAAATTAGAATTAATTATCACTTTTTAATAGAGGAAACATAACCGTTAGAGATTAAATAATATTATTCAGTATTTACGTTTACAGTCAATATATTTTAATAACTAGTTTTATCATTAATTTTTAATCAAACAATTTTTTTTTTATATATGAAATTTAAGTTGAGTCTAATAAAATATGCGTATGCGGACTATAAAAACAAATTTGAGTGGCATAGACGGCACTCACTCCATACGTCATGTTTCCACTAAATACAGTAGTCGCCGCTTATTGGACTCACTTTGGGACCCGACAATTTGAGTCAATTAACCGAATGAGTCAATAAGGCGAATGACTCAAAAACCTAACCTAACCTAACCGTGCGAATCGGGACCAACCGTTTTGAGTCTAATATGCGAATGAGTCAATTAACCGTGAGTCCAATAAGCGGCGACCACTGTACTAATATACTACATATTCAGAACGTTTTTCATAAGTAATTTTTCATTAGAATATACATACTTTAACGTACGTAATAAAACACAATTAACAAAAATACTATTTGTAAATTTGAATTGTAATATTATATAAGTTTCAAGTACATTGGAACATTTAGTTTTTCGAATGTGAATTTCACTTATTCAATAAAAAAAAGTTGAACTCTTGTAGTCTCATATACGATTTATACGTATTCGTGTTTATAAGTAAAAACTATTCAATTATATACTTTAGGGACGTTTAAGAGTCATTAAAATATATTACAGAACACTTGTAAAATGCTTTTAGTTAATTTTTAATCACATTACTCATTACTGTCGAAAACACAAGTTATATACAGTTGTTATTTGATTATAGTTTTAAACGTACGATTCATATTTGAATTGAATACATAAATAAATTGCATTGGATTAGTACCGACTGATTAATACAAATATTTTATTCGAATAATGTCGTAACTTACTGATAGTATTCGTATTAAGGAGTTACAATATTAGAAGGTTAAGTTTCTAGGAACAATAATAATGGCATCATACAACAATGGCTACTACTGCATTTTCCAGAATGGTACATTTACATTAACTTCCTCGTTCTCTTTACTCATTGATTTTCAAAAATGATTACACATACTTTGTTAAACGTTTTAACTCTAAATACATGTTTATAATTTTCATTACTCATCATTTGATATAAACATAATGGAGGAATATTCTTTTAATTTTTTGGAATCATCACCATGAGTAATTTGTACATAGGAATTAAAACATCTAGCTACGTTTCAAGTGTAAGACACGATTGTATTGCATTCTGTTTAATCGTGCTTTTTCCATAGATTTTTCTCGAGTAATTTCGTCTCAAAATCAAATTATACTTATTCTACAATCAATTCAAAATTACTGTAACTAATCGGTCACTGCTGAAGCAACGTGACATTTATAAACCAAAATCCACGCGCACCGTATTAATTCCTTCGACAGCTTAAACTGCCTATATACAGGTATAATTAATAATATTCAAAATATTTCTTACCTGATTGATTTATTTAAATTGTTTGTTTTCAAAATCTGAGTGAAACAATCTGAAAAAATAATATAAACCAATTAATTATTAGGTAATTGAATTTCATTGTGTGAAAATGATTTAACTATTTTGCTTGGTATTTAAACATTTGATTTTACATTGTATTAACTAAAATATATTTGTATAAATGTTCATATTTATTATGAAATTTGATTGTTATTAATTGATCGGTCTCAATAAACTCGGAAAGTTGTAATTTAACACTTATATACTATTTTGGGTAGTACTTAGTAATAATTATAATATACTGTGTCATAGAATTTAGAAGTATTGTTATAATTTTTTTCTAGACTTATAAATGTCTAGACTATAGGTGGGTAAATAACAGTAATTAAGTGATCAACACACAATTGAATAAAAAATCCGAAAATATAATTTCAATTTCAATTGTTTTTTCATAAAAATCTAAAAACATTTATATTTTAGCATTTCTATATATTTACACATAATTTATATAAATTCTAATAAATGACCAATACAAAAATGGAATATTTTCTTTTTGCAGCGATTGCAATAAAAAAAATGATGGTTAAAAAATATGGACGACCTTAATATTATTTTACACATTGTGTGTTGTTTCATTTTCTACTTAACGTTTTCTAGTTATGTATAAATTTTCAGTTGTACGACAACTTGTACCTGGTTAGAATGTTCAATTAAAATACTTTACGATAAAAAAGACCAAATTTATTCGTTCCTAGTAAAAACCTTAACCGCTTTAAATCAATATTGAGAGCTATTTATGTTGAGTTATGGGTTTGAACGTCTATAGACATTGTTTGTGTACCTATATATTAAATATATATAGACGCGTTCCTCTGTATATTTTATTTCAAATTTAACTTTTAATTTAATTAGGTTTTTTAATATAAGTTTTAAACCATTACCTCGGTTCACTTTAAGTGTTTCGAAATTTTTAAGGGCGAATTGAAATTAAATAAACATGCAATTTATACTCTCAAACGGTTTTTGAAGAAAACGGTGTACCTATACCTATCGATAAAATATTTATAAAACTATAAACTATGCCTATGAAATAATAATATAATTTGTTTTATATGACATTGGTCTCAAATACCTATTTTTTTTTTTTGCAAAAGTCAATTTGGACATAAATGTCCAACGCGTTTCATTTCAACTTTAATTTCCGAAAGGAAAACGCATGTCCCTGCTACCACCGCGGTTTACTACAAACTTCACTTGCAGTACCGTTGGCGGCGATCGAATTGTTCTATAATTGATTTAAAAACGTCACATACACATAGGGAAGGTTAATTTAGTTACGAATAATATAATGTCTAGGATATATTGAAGTACCTAGTAGTCATATATTGGAAACCACTCGTATTATTTTTTTTTTTTTAGTTTCTATCGCAAAGGAGAGAAATCGCTTAGTGACATTGTTATACGGTACGCAACGGGGATGGGTCTGTGTCTGTTTCTTTTTTAACGTTTTATTTTTCCCCTTTTGTACGCGTATATTCACGGTCTGGGGGAAAAACGAATGGAAACGAATTAAAGTTTAATAATAAAAAAAAAGGGAGTCTGAAAACAAGCCGTTTTCCGCACAATAAAATACGTATGGAATCGCAATTGGCAATGGTGGCAAAGGTGAAGGGAGTGGGGTTAGCCGATAGGGAAAAACAAAAGAAAATCGTCTGGTGAAAAAGACGGCATATCGCCACCGTTAAAAGTCTAAGAACTCGCATAAAACCACAAAGTACCTAGTAAAAAATTAATAATGAACTCTCTCTTGCTCGCTCGAATCATCCAAAATATCCTTTACGGGTACCTATTGCTTTTTTTATGCGTGCACTCCATGTGCCTTCGTTTCTACTCTACAGAGGCTACAAGAACAAGGGTGATAGACAGTTGGCAGATGGCAGGGTGCACATATTCGGTGCCCCGGGTCATCATAATACAGTGTTATGGGCCCATCTAACCGTCACCTCGTCATACTAACCTCCAAAATCACCTTAATATGACTCGAGTTTAACCTCCCTACATTATACTGTACTACAACGGGGTGAGCGTGTGCGTTTAATCATACATATCACAGGCTAGCGGGTGAGCCGCGCGTGCGAAAGGGATTCCAAATGGCCTCTCGACGCCACGTGGGACGATATTTATATTTTTATATACATCGTTTATGTATACTTAATAATATATACATACACATAATGCGTCAGTTCGACTCCCGCAAAATCCATTAGAAAAAAAGCATTGTAACGGGTGTGTGTGTGTGTGTTTTTTTTACCAGTCATGGCTGAAATTAATAAATAATGCTACTGCGGTGGTGGCAGTGGCTCGGCGTATGGTACAGACACGACGGGGTATCAGAAACTTAAGAGACTGTAAAATCAAGTATAATATATATTATATTATATAGTATTCTATTTAATAATAAATACCTAACAATGAAATTATGATTATTGGCTCGCGCATAATTAATGTGCACGTGCTTCATACTATGCACATTATCATTTTATGCTTTGTACTGGTGCACAACTATTATGAATTAAAATATAATATATTATATCATAATATCATATTTTAATTGTTCACACGACTATAACGGCAGCACTCATAATAAAAAAATCTAAATCGGTGGAATTAAACTCGGAGTACTGCGTTACACGGGGCTGCAACGTAAAACGCTCTCGAAAAATAATAATTTTTAGTTTGTTTCGTGTTAATGTAGTTATATTATTATACTCGTTTGAATAAAACACCACTTTTATTTGTTTATTTTACGAATAATAATAATAAACTATTTAACCGTTCGTCTATATCATGTGTATCTTGTGTATCTTTAATGATTTATAATCGAATAAGAATCAACAGTAGTCGTTTTTAACATAATATAGTACAGTACTACAGTATAATGTATAATGTGTACACGTAAAAGGTCGAAACCGCGATAAATAAAAGTGAAATTAACGAGTTTTCATTTATTTTATTGTCACAGTTAGACATAAATCTTGATTATTAATGCTATTAATTTTACGGTGTAGTTGACAACAATATATAAATATATATATGAATTTGGATAATCCTCGAGTCACGTATTTGCAATTGGATATCTAGTAGATCCGAGTCATTAATCATTTTAAAATTACTTTTTCATAAAACAATTTCAAACTTGTTTGCGATTTTAACTTCTGAAAATATGAAACAGTGCATATTATATACAATACACAAAACCACATATAATGATGGTACATTTTTTGATTGGTCTATTATACATTTATTATTTGTACAACTCGAAATTCAAATTATGTCGATTTACTTAATTATGTATGCTTATTTCATTTATTCGTATTGCCGAAAAAGCCGATTAAAAATTAAATAGCATCGTTGAAATAGTTGTACTATAATTACATGATACGAATATCCATACATAACACAGAGTTAAAACATTTTGTTTCATTAGATCGGTTGACTGCATTTGGAAATTTTAAATCCAGACAGTTAATTTAAATTATTTATTAAAAATCTAGTTTCCTATGACATTATTCATAAAGGTTTAATTTGTGTTATTCATTTTTTAATAGGTACTTTCTACAGATTTTTAGGTAAAAGGGAAATGTTTTTTTAATGCATTTTAAGTGATAATTTAAATATTCAAGGTGAAAAGTTGTAACTATTTATCAATATACCCATAATATATGTAACTAAATTCTGAGGTGTTAAAATCATATAACAAAGTATCAAATATATCAAACCCAAACTAAATATTATCATACTCATTCAAAAAAATCACTATAGAGGTTTTATTACATATTTCATACTAATTATAATGCTTTTTAATGCTTTTATGAATTATTTAGATTATTTTATATTAATATCAAAGGGATTTCTCTATATCCAACGGCAAATGTATTAATAATATTTTTATTAGGTATTTAATTTATTCTTATTAGCAGTGTAGTAGCGCTTTCGCATAACGTCATAAAATAAAGATAACACATCAGGTTTAATAGTAACAAAGTCTATCATAGATACGTATATAAAAGTTTTTTTTTTCTTAACTGATAAAATTAAAAAATAAACGTTATTAACCTATAAGCACAAATCGCGAGCAATTAAATAAACTTAAACAATATAAAGGATATATATATATATTATATATATATATATATATTTAGAGGCTCAAAAAACGTTTTTGAGAGTGATATAGGATGCTTTGGGACGTAGCTATTTTCTTCCAAAAATAAGTTACTGTTTATCTCCACAGTCCATTTTCCCCAAATAATAAATTAAGAATAAAAATAATATGTATGTTTAATGCAAACATTGTAGTTATTAAAGTAATTGTTACAAATAAAAATTGAATTTAATTATTAATAATAAAGTAGGTACCCATATTTTTTGGAAAAATAGACAGTGGAAGAAAACAGACCAGCTCGAGCCTATGATGCTTACGAATAAATAATCTATACAATTATAAACGTTAATGATAATTGATCAATTATTTTTATTAATAATCATAATTATATCAACAATAATAATATTGTACTAAACAGAATTCGTATTATACATCGTTGCGTACATTGTGTGCTTACCTGACATTGGAAATGGGTGAAATGAGCTTACAATTGGTGAAACTGTTCGTAAAAATGACGGTGGAACGATTAAAAATGAATTTTTTTCTGTACAACATACCAGTGAAATAATTGTGGGAGGATACATTCCGTATTCTCCATGATCGAAAAAAAGGTAGATAATGTCACGTACACGCGTAGATAGCTTTAATATTATAGTCGATAAAAAGTACTGGAATGCACGGATTTCTGCGAACCAAATGGAAAATGTAATATTATTAAAATAAATGAAAACTCATCGGAATAATCTCCGTTTTCAATAATAATATTATTTTATCGTTATAATTTATTATCATCCGCGAAGTATAATATAGTGAAAAGTAATGAAAATAATATAGTGGTACAAATTACAATCTAGACACGCCTTTATATATTATTGTGATGTTCTAAATGC